TAAGGTGATGGAGACTTGCATAAATCGCGAGCTTCCGGACTACCTCGAACGTCACAGCTTAATTAGCGACAGGCAGTATGGTTTCCGGTACCAGCGATCGACAGGAGACCTCCTAGCTTACGTCACGCAATTGTGGAGGAAACTCATCTAGTCTTATGGCGAGGCTCATGTTATTGCTCTTGACATCACGAAAGCGTTCGATCAGCTGTGTTACACTGCCTTCTTAAGCAAACTTCCATCCTATAGCCTCTCAGAAAAGCTTTGCAGATGGGTGACTGACTTTATCTCTGGCCTCAAGATATCCTTCGTAATTGACGGGTTCTCCTCTTCATCCCACAATGTCAACGCGGGTGTTCCCCGGGGATTGGTCTTGGCTCCGACACTGTTCCTTTTACATATGAACGACCTCCTTTCCTGCACGATCAACCCAATCCACAGCTTCGCTGATGACAGCACTCTACATGCAGAAATTCAAAGTGACAAGCCGATCTCTGTCGCTGAGCTGGAAAAAAGAAGACTAGAGACGACTTCCTCTCTGACAAGAGACCTAGAGGCTATCACTGCTTGGGGACGCAACAGTCTTGTACAGTTCAATGCTTCCAAAACACAGTACTGTACTTTGACGAACCAAAAAGCGTCCTAGCGCTCATGGCATGAACAGACAGTCTCGGGACCCTTTTGCACCGGCGGGCCGTCGGCGATCTAGCTCTCTTCTACCGCTACAGGAACGGGCTTTGCTCCCCAGAACTCTCTCCCATGATGCCGCTACGCGGTGTGCCTGCCAGACAGACCCGCCTCCCATCTTAACCGTGTCGAACTTCATACATCCAGAATTGGCCGATACGACCGCTCCTTCGTCCTTAGGGTGTCAAAATTCTGTAACAATTTGGAAGGGGAAGCTTTTCCCCTGTTCTACTAACCTGAGGCAGTTCACAAATCGGATTAACAAAATTTCATCATCATAGCAGCCGCGGTGTTCCGATTTAGGCGTCTGCCTGCGCGGCTGCTTCGGTATAAAAAAATACAGCCTCAGGCAGTCGGGCACACAAGATGCGTAGATTTGGGCTGCCTATGATTACAACGCACATCCTCATCCCTTACTCCGCTTGCCCTGAATTAACATTACAGACATGTTGATGTTCCAGATAAAAAAAATTAAATATAACAAGTCTTGTAAATATTTCCCTAAATAGATATTTTCGATGACTTATAATATCTAGCCGATGAATAATATGTGGATGCGGATACATTTACAAATATACTAAGTGACATATAAATCCGAACAGCCAGTTAAAATGGTTTTATTTTAATAAAAGTTGGTGAATGTATTTATCTTAGTAAGTAACAAGTGAAAAAACTTTCAGCCTTATCAGTTGGACATTCCGGTTTTTATACTGCTTTTTTTTAATTCCCTAACGCTCTAAAAATGAATATTTCAGCCGCAGTGGAGAATCAACGTTGGCGGATTTTGGTTCTTGACATCCTTTACGATCGGTTACGATGCCTAGAGTACGGAGACCTGTACGATTTCGTCAACTTAGTGAGTTTGATAGGGGCCGTATAGTGGGACTTCGGGAAGCTGGACTTTCTTTTCGGGCAATTGCAGTTAGAGTGCAAAGAAGTGTAGACACTGTGGTTAGGTGTTGTCAGGCATGGCTTCGAGAAGGCCGTACGCAAAGAGCAAGGGGCACTGGACGCCGCCGTAGAACAACAGACCATGAAGATCGCCGCCTAAGATTATTGGCCTTAAGGGACTGTTTCTCCACTACCAGGTTCATTGCAAATAAATGGTTTGCAGAACACGGAAGACCTATTGGCATGCGAAGTGTTTACCGACGAATGAGAAGTTTTGGCTTGTTTTCATAGCGGCCACACTGGGTCCTCCCTTTAACTCAAGAACACCGACGTAATCGCCTTGAGTGGTGCAAACAACGGTCACTCTGGGATCAGGAATGGAACAGTATTGTCTTTAGTGACGAGTCTCGATTTTGTTTAGGCATACACGATGGTCGTGCCAGGGCTAGAAGGCGACGTGGTGGAAGGAGGAATCCACAGTTTTTTGTTGAAAGACATGTTCATCACACTGTTGGAGTTATGGTTTGGGGTGCTATAGCTTATTGTTCCAGGTCACCTTTAATCTTCATCAGAGGTAACATGAACGTGCAGCGTTATATTCACGAAGTTCTAGAACCCCATCTTTTACCCTATCTTGACACCCTGGCAGATCCAACTTTCCAACAAGATAATGCCCGACCACATGTTGCAAGAGTCACAATAGACTTCTTTCAACATAATAATGTCACATTGTTACCATGGCCACCAAGATCTCCCGACTTATCCCCAATTGAGATTGCTCAATTTGCAACGTCCTCCTCAGACTCTAGAAGCACTTCGAGAGGAGTTGGTGGTTGCCTGGAATGAGATACCACAGGAGGACATTGACCACCTGATCAGAAGCATGCCTAGGCGCGTTGGAGAACGCGTAGCACATCAGTGTGCATCCACAGATTATTAAAGGTCAAAGGGCTTTAAAGCAGTGCAATCATTTTGAAATTTTTATCATTTACTTATTATGCTTCATTAATTACTTATACAAAATTTTATTAAAATAAGACCATTTAAACTGGGTGTTCGGATTTATATGTCACTTAGTATATCTATGTTTTAGGACCCAGGAATGCAGAATGCGCTGTTTGTTTACATTTGGTGTAGATTTCTAGATCATAAATTGGCACTAAATTGTTTTTGATGTAACAAAAGATGATGAACCAGTTGGAATATGTTTTATGCCTTTGACAGCTCCCGCCAAATTGCATTTCGATAAGCCTCTCCCTTATTGGTGGAAATGCTCCGTCAAATTTAAATCTTAGTGTTGTATCAACATAATAATACTTACCGGGAAGCATCTACCTTCATTGGGCTTGTACCGCTCTTTGCAAATCATGTGAGCAGTACCATGTCTTTAGTGTCGTCTAACACCCCATTTCTCTGCAAACGTTCGCACTTTGATGATCACTACAGACTATGGAAACTACGATACAAACAAATCCTTGACTGGCTTCTTCTACCTAGCCTGAATTCGCTGGTTCAAGACGATTTAATATGACAGGCCTACGCTCTCACTGTCATTGATTTTCAATCTGTCAGTTTGATGTTTAATTGATCAGTTTTCAGTTGATCAATTCGAAAGAAAGACGTAAACGGGCGTAATGCATCGGCAGTGTTATTATATAAAAACACCGATATAATGTCAAAAAAACCTATAAAATGTCAACTTGTTGACTAAGTAGGCTAGGGTGCGCTTGTAACAAGTGAGCATGAAGTGAAGGCAGCTAGTTACAGGTTGATGTTTTGTTGGAAAACCTACATAATGTCATAAAAACCTACATAATGTCAAAAAACTGACACACTGTCACGTTTCAAGTTACGTAATACCGCGTCGTGTTGTTTTTACACGCCAGACAATTTTAGTTTTTGAGATATAGCCTTCTTGAGTGCGATCAACAATGCCTGAAAGTGGATTACAGTATTATAGAATTATGTTCTGAAATAGGAAGTAGACAGAAGGTCACATAATCTTTGTAATCATAAATATTTGGGCAAAAAGGTGCTTCTTATTTTCTACCTACATCAAAATGACCGTCACAACAATTTGAATCACCTTTAGAGATATATTATCCCTTTTCATAACTTTTCATCACGTTTATCTCCGCATCTTGGGCAATATGAAAAGATCCTTTATCCAGTGCTTCCCATATCGTATTGTTCTCACAGATACAACACCGTACATATAATAAGGCTTCCCACTTCAACAATGCTACTGTTTTTTTTAATAAAAACTAGATTATGTAAAACAGTACCCTTGGAAATTCGACATTAACATTAATAAAACAAACAACCAAATGACATGTCGATGGTTATGACGTCACTCCGGAGAGCGCTAATATTGCCGCGTTTGAATCAACGTTATTGGCATTGCAGTTTTAAATATTTAATTAAAAGTAAATAGATATATTTCCATGAATAGCATGTTTACTGTATTATAACCCAAAAAAATCGATAGAGAACACAAAAAAATCATGCATATTTCTTATTCCAGAACGCATATTTGATGCAAATATTGAAATATATTCCACCCACCTTTCTTGTCGTCATATCTCTTTCAGACGTTTTTGCACGCATACCAATACAGAACATAATACAAATAATACACAATACATGAAAATTCCAACATGTTCCACTGCTTCTTCGTTCATCAACAACTTTGCTGGTTTTGTGGAGATTCACTTTTCATTCAGCGTACGAAGAAAATCCGGAAGCCGTTTCCTAATACGTAAAACACGCTTTTAGGGAAATAAACTTGCAACTTTAGCCGAGGAATGTGAGGCGCGCCAGGTCAGGATCGCTATCGGGATTTCCTGCTATCGTTTAGCGTAGCGTGGGTATCATGGCAGTACAGAATACAAAACGCATTGCGTCTCGTAGATAACTTCCCTTACTACTAATTTAATACTATTTTATACTATAATTTTTACGACCATAAATGTACTCCTAAAATCGACAATCGCTATACTCCCCTATTCACACTGTCTCAGTGTACGCGGGTTGATCACCTATGCCCAGCCCCTGACTCAGTTGCACTTGCTTATTTTTATATGCATGTTGTTGACTCTAAAACATATCATCTTAGTAGGTAAAGTTACGCAAATATTAAGATTACATGTTTCTTCGTGGTTGTAGGCCATAGTAAAACTACATGAACTATTTTTATACATTTACCTCGCACACAAATAATAATCATAGTAATGATAAAAGTTCTTAGTATGGGCTTGGTAGATAACTCGATTATTACGCATGTTATCTAAAAGAGTTAATGACATCAATTGTAGCAGAGTGACCTCCTTATATGGAAAATATATTATGTTATCCTTACAGGGTAATTGGTACGAGGGATGTCTTTTAAGTTTTGCATATGGAAATAAAACAACACACACACAACAGTAGGTAGTTTTAAATGACTTTATTGTTTTTCGAAGTATTCTCCACAAAGATTAATACACATCATGCGCCTCAAACCAATTTTCGAAGCACGTATTCCACTCGTTTGCTGGCAGATCCGAAACGGCATTTTTGAATGCGTCAACTGCTTCTTCTGGTGGCTGGAACCTTTGACCACGCAGTCTGTTTTTAATTTTCGGGAAAGTAAAGAAATCGTTAGGTCTTAGATCGGGACTATATGGAGGATACTCCAATAATTCCACGTTTTCTTCCGTTAAATACTGCTTGTTTTTTGGGCTGTGTGCGAGCTTGCATTGCTTTGGTGGAGGATGATTCTTCTTTCAGGGTTGATTTTTCGAAGCTCCGTGATGACTTTTCGCAAACGAATGGTGGTATGCCAATCCTCAGTAACAGTTATTTACTCTTTAAGAGGAATTGTTGCAAAATGACCCGTTTTTGACACAAATGTCGCGACCGTCTTTTTCGAAACACTTCGAGAACGGATGACATGTTGGATTTTCTTCACCTTGGAACACACAAACAGCCGACTGTCGTTTATTTTCTGCTTCATAACAGTAAATCCACGATTCATCATGACTAACAATCCAGTATACATTTTCTGAGTTTCCGAAATTGAAACGATCAAGCGTTTTGTGACACCAATTAACCCTGGCTGCTGTCTGCTCTTCAGTCAACAGGTGGGGTATCCAACGAGAAACTAATTTTCTTACTCCTAATTCTTCATGTAAAATTTTTTGAATCGAGGTCTTTGAGATCTTCAAGTACGCCTCAATCTCGCGATATGTCATATGTCATATGTCTATCTTCAATGATGAGTTTGCGCACAGCATCGACGTTTTCCTGGGTGACTGCAATTTTTGGTGCACCCACCCTGGAATCGTCGCTAAGACTCACCCGTTCACGTTTGAATTCTGCATAAGAACGGGAAATTATCTACTGATGTGGCGCTTCGTTGCCGAAAACAGACAGTAACTCAGCAAGGCATTCTTGTTGCGATAATTGTCTCTGAAAGTTGTAATAAATTATGGCGCGAAAATGATCTCGGTTGAGTTCCATTTTTCTAATGACTTGCTGACGCTTAAAAATTCACTGTAATGAGAACACTGCGCGTATTGTTGTGAAACTTTGAATTTAAGTTTACTACAGAGTGAGGTTAAGATTCAGTACTGACGTTCGATCCGCGCGGCCTACTATGTTTCTATATGCAAAACTTAAAAGACATCCCTCGTAAGACTTTGGTTCGGCAAGATCAAATGCCACCTCTACGTTTAATGAGGTTATCACTGCCAAAATTCTACAACATCTGGAAAAGAACGCTTCAAATTTTAATAAAGACCATTTTTCTTAACCTTGAAAACCAGAACTTTTAGGACATATAGTAATATGCACTTTTCTGCTTAAATTTGGGTAAGAAGTGGATTCCCCAGAGACGGGTGACACATGTAAAATTTTATATAGCGCTTTCTTCAAATTTAAAGACCTACATTTTATAATAGATTCGGATAGGCCTTCCAAACGAAGCAATTTGATATAACTGTTCTTTAGGGCTATATTTTCAAATTCTCGAGATATTGGGCAATCTATCGAAAAAACACTCATCTTTGACAAGTCTAACCTCTGCAACTGATTTAGTTCGAGGACTTAGTTTTTTGTCAGAAAAATTTTAAGATTTCATATTTTCTTCCTATCTACTCACTATTGCACTGATTTGGTTGATTTGTGTAAGGTCAATATCGCAAAAACGGGCGATTTCCAAAAACTTTTGAAATGAAACTTCCTGTATTTTCATAATTTTTGTTTGCCCATTCCTTAGGCTTTTTTCCAATATGAAGCTTATGGGAGTTCGTACAACTAGTTTTTGTATTAATAAAAACACAGCGATACCTCTTTGAGTTTTCGACTTTATGCATAAGGTTAGGTGGATTAGATTTATAATGAAAATAGACAAGTTGTAACCATCTGCTGTTATTAAGTGAATACTATTTTCATAAGTAATATCATAAAGGCATATAATTTTTCCGAAATCGAAAAAACACGTTCCTAAGTAATATTTTAACAAGAGGCATGAGTGGTGGTGGCAACACATATCCTAGTCGAAGACAAGGATTTTGGCACCTGCACGAATGTTTTTTTGTTAAAAAAATATTACTTTGCATTGTTTTTTCGTTTTTTTTTCACAGGAAAAGATTAGATGCCCGAATGGTATTTGACAAGACTATCTCATCAGTAACAGATCATTCTGCATGCACATAGCTTACAAAATATACTAGCTACTTCACATACATTTTCACTTTGTAATTCAAAATTGCGCGTTTGTGATTGGTAGAAATTAAGACGAGAGAAATAGTCATTTTAAAAGTTCCTGTAATATTTTTCATTTACCGTGGTACCCGATTTGCAAAAAGGTTATCCATAATTCAAAGACCATTCGTACAAACTCCAATGAAACGCATATCGAAAAAAATCTTATAAAAAGGGGTATCAAAATGTGTGAAAATGTGCTGGGTGTTCTATTTGAAAATTTTGGGAAATCGTTCATTTTGCGTTTTTGACCACCCTATTGAAAAAACTGAAACACTAACTGTATACGAAGAAAATTTTGGGTTCGTAAAATCCTTCTGACGAAAAATTCAGTAGCGTGGCTCTAACGTCGCAGTGTCTGCAGATACAAATGCAATATTGACCCTGTGTTGAATTTACTGGAGTGCTTTTGAAATGTGAGTGAAAACAATGGTACCTCAATTACCCATTTTGGGTGTATGTGAAAGAGCGAGTAGTAGCTGCGTTATTTCCTATGACATTGAGACGTAACCATCAAAAACCATGAAAAGATCTAATATATCTTACTGTTTTGATGTTATTTGCTTCTTGGCTTATGCGTGATATGGGTTCTAATGAAGAAATCGATCTTGTTAAGCAAAGAGCTGTAATATCTTTTTCCTCTAGAAAAAATAAAAAATCCGGTAACCCTTGATTAGTTACGACCCATCAGCATACTATGTTTCTTTTCAAGGATATCAGAAAAGGTTGTTTATCTACAACTAATTGAATGCTTACAGATGAACAAGTTAATCCCTGTGCATCAGTATGGATTTCGTGCTGGGCACAGTACAACTTCTCCACTACTCCATTTGACAGGCAATATCTTAAATAATATGGATAAACATATTGATACAGTTTTAGTAATTATTTACTTCTCCAAGCCGTTTGACACGATTGACCACAAAATTTTGTTAAGTTCAAGTATAATGGACTTTTGGCATTCCTCTTACTTTTTTTGTAACTCATTTGACTAATCGTAAACAAAAGGTGACGGTTATAGTGCCCATTTCTTCAGGTGATCCTCAAGGCTCTGTTTTAGGTCCTTTGCTTTATTTGATACACTCTTTAACACGTCATATAAAGTAAATCACGATCTTGCCAATATAACTGATTTTTGTAAGAGACACATGTTGAAGATTAATCCGGATAAGAGTATTTGCATGCTTTTTGTCCTAAGCACTTATATAATAGACTAAGAGGCAGGATTGCATTGAGCATCAACAATGAGCTCACTACTATTGTGGAACAAGCAAAAAATCTTGGTGTTATCTTCGATTCTAGTTTGAGATTTGGCGAATATGTGAGTCATCTATCGGAAAGCACATACATCAAGTTAAGACTACTATATGCTAATAGATCCATTTTGAACTTTAAAATGCGTAAGAAGCTACTTGAAAGTTTGACAATGTCCAGCCTTAGCTATGCTTTAACTTTATATTATCCTTGCATTGACTCGATGTATCGGTGTAAGATCCAAAGAATGAAAACAACTGCTGTAGGTTTGTGTATGGTCTTAGAAAATATAGCCGTGAATTATCTGGCCGACTCAGTCTACTTGCTTTTTAAAGAGATTTATTTTCGATTATCAAAATACAATTCTATTTATGTATATATATATATATAGTATGAGCGCTAACAACAGACTAACTAACTGTGAATACAATAAAATAGGACTGGATAAGGCAAAGTGCTGATCCAGGGAAACTTGATCGTCTTCTTTAGTGGTAGGGGTAAATCTTCTGTACTATAACGCATGTCTCCTCTGAGATCGAGGAGTTGAAATGACTGGAAATGAATCAGCAATTTGAATGTTATCTTAAGGTATTTGTACATCAGCAAGTATGTGCTTAAAAGCCATTTATCTCCATAGAAAGTTTATAACTAGAGGAATCAATAATCTTGGAGATCTGAGGCATAATAATCTTACAATGCCTTTGCTCTATACCGCATTGTTTCAAAAATGTTACACTTTCAATGCCTGGAGAAGCAAGTTTACATTCAGGAAGTTGGTTGAAAATCAGCTGCTATATCTATTGTGATTAGTTGTTATGATCTTTTCTTTATGATTTTTTTGTATTATCATCCATTCATTATTAGTTTCCATCTGGTTCCCTGTTGGTGGATTTGTCAGTTGTATATCTTGTGTTTTCTTTTTATTAACTCACTCAGTTGAATATCGAATCGATGTATTTATTTTAGGGTTGGTATGTATTTAATTTTATGTTGCAAGAGGGTGGGTGTAAGAGTAGTCAACTGGCTAAACTTCGCCCTATTGATGTGATTCTAATAAAGACGTTTTGTTATTATCATTGTTATTATTAATACTACTGTTACTACAAATTGGGGAAACTAACATGGCAGATGGTGTAACGGTATCAACTGATCAAAACATTAAAAAGTGGTGTTACAAGCTGAGCATGTTTTGCAGGGACCTGTTATGCTAACTAAATCCAAAAATGGCTAGATGTTTTTATAAAGCTGTGGAAGTCACAAGTGACGTATTGGTTCATCGGGATAATGCTTTCAGCTGTACCTCCTGCATTGTTTTCGCTACCTTACAATAACGAGGCCTTGAATTGGTAAATTACTCACCGCATTTGCCAGTCCTGGCCTCAGTAATTTCGTGATATTTTCATAATTGAAAGAACATCTACGAGAAAGGGAATGTTAAAGTAAGCAACAGGTAATATCTGTAGTAGGAGAGTGTTTTTAAGTAGTCGTATAATTTTTTGTATTGGGGGGGGGGGGAGATATCATACACATATAAATGATTTTCTTTAGGGATTGATGATACACCGTTGCCTATCGGCAATATCGACCTTGATTTGCCGGTATATAAATCGTCCCCTCATCGAATCTGAATCATCAAATTAATAACTAAACAATATACACAGAGTATCCTATTTTAATCGCCGTACATAAATATTCCTAAAACTACACGTTCTATCAAAAAG